TGTTGTCTCTCATGTTAAACAGGGAAAGCTTCAGGAGAGTGATAAGAGTTGGGACTGAGCTCCTCACAAGGCTTGAGTTCATTAGAAGGCCTGATCTCATCAGGGGCCTTCATCTGCTTAGTGTGTTCGAACTGCAATGGGAACTTTGTTCAAACCCCATACTGTACCTATCCTGGGTATAATAAGTGGAAACAGTGTAAAGGGAGATTTACTCTATATCTAACACCGTGCTGTACCTGTCCTGGGACTGTTTGATAGGAGTGGTGAACGGGTTGCTTTACTTGCAGTTTAAAACAGTAGGGAGAGCTTTACTTTGTATCTAACCCTATGCTGTCCCTGTCCTGGGAGCATTTGATGGTGACAGTGAAGACAAAGCTTTACTTTCAATCCAGTGAATGTTTACTAGACTGATTCCCTGGATGGCAGGAGTGACATATGAAGAAAGACTGTACTGACTGGGCTTATGCTCACTGGAATTTAGAGGAATGAGGGCAGATCTCAGAAACATATAAAATCCTGATGGGACTGGACAGGCTAGATGTGGGAAGAATGTTCCCGATGTTGGAGATGTCCAGAACAAGGGGTCACAGTAAGGGTTAAGCCATTCAGAACTGAGATAAGGAAGAATTTTCTTCACTCACTACCAAAGGAAGCTGCTGGGACCAGTTAGGTGAATATAGTCAAGAGAGAGCTGGACATGGCCCTTGCAGCTAAAGGGGTCAAAGGGTATGGAGAGAAAGTGGGAGTGGGATATTGAAATTGTACAATTGGAAACAAATCTTCGAATTGTTCATCCTTGAACATTTCCTTATCGAGGTTGTCTGTGCATTCCCTGAAACTTGTTGCTCAGATAATGCTTCCTTTTGCCTCGGAATAACCCCTTCTCAGGAGCATTTTTGTTTCACTTAAATGCTGAAGCAGGCTTTTTAATTTTGTTTTAATCAGTTTGTTAACAACAGGTGGTCTACCATCTTGTACCTAAATGCTGAAGCCATTTTGTGTCTCTCAAATGTAGGGGCAGCTCCAAAAATCAGCCATGATCATATTGAATGGTGATGCAGACTCAAAGGGCCAAATTGCCTACTCCTGCACATAATTTCAATGTTTCTATGCAAAACAGTGGACGGAGCTTTACTCTATATCTAACCCCACTCTGTCCTTGGCATGGGAGTGCTTGACGGAGACAGTGTAGATCAAGTCTCCCTCTATATCTAACCCTGTGCTGTCCTTGTTCTGGGAGTGTTTGATCTGAGTGTAGAAGGAACCTTTACTCTGTATCTAACCCCGTGCTGTCCCTGTCCTTGGGAGTGTTTGATCCGGGACATCATAGAAAGAGCTTTACTGTGTCTAACTCTATGCTGTCCCTGTCCTGGAACTGTTTGATTGAGATAGTTTAGGGAGAGCTTTACTTTCAGTCTTAAAAGAGTAGGGAAGGCTTTAACCAATTTTAAGAGATATGTAAACAATTGTATATTCCCACCAATCTAAAAAACACTTTGCCATGTTTTTGCTTTGCTCCTTGAACAATTTTGCATCCACTTTGATATTGAACCTTACGTGGCATGGACTTCAACAGTGACAGGCAATTTGATAAGACCAGGCCTCTAATATAAACGCTCCACATGCACACTGCTTAATCCCATGGTTGACATGGTCTCTGCTTTAATTCCTTAATCAGATGGTGAGTTGTAAAACCCAGGCCTGGGAGCAGGAAATCTGGATTAAATCTGAAGATGCAATTCAGAATCTTAAAATATCAGTGAATTTGTGCTGTGCCCTCTCCATTAATACTCATCCTATCATGTGGCACTGAAAACTGCATACAAACTCTAACTACTGAGGCACGTGGATAGATTCAACATACGTTTTCATGCTTTCATTCCACACATTTGCTATTGATTTTTTTTTTACAAATTGCTTTATATCCATTTGAGATGGTGCTTTTCATGTCTTGTGAAACTGAAATCCCCAATCACTCAACTGGACTCTCCTTTGGGTACATGTTCTTCAACACGCTTTTACTCCTGACCTGCTCAGATTTGTATCATCTGGGACTTCTAAAACAGTGAATTTTCAGTGATAGAGGGAGCACAGAGCATTCACTATTACCAAGGGTAACAAGTGTCTTCAGCAGGGCCACGCACACCCAAGAACACTGCCCTGTCTCACTCTAACAAGCACTGAATTGTTAAGCTGAGGTTCACACCCTTTAATACTAATACAGGGAGCCATGTCATTGAGGCTTGCAGAAGAGAACAATCCTTCACCAACGTCTCACTAAAATCTTACAAAGACCAAGGCACAATGACTTGCAGCAATTTTATTAATTTATCTTTTGTACAAAATGATAGAGATAGTGAGTGAGCTGACCCTCCTCCCACTAGGTTCACATACATTGTTGTTCAGTGACTAACTGTTCAGTCAAATCCCACTCGTCGGTCTCGTTTGATGGTAGATTGGATCCTCTTCTGCCGTAGCCGTTCTCGTTGCATATTCTCCACCCTGGAATCACCACAACATGTCAGTAAAGACTGTGTACTTCGCCTCAAGCCCACAGCTACCTCCTTTATCTGGCCAAGTAGTGGCCCATGTCGATGAGGGGTGGTGGTCCACAGAACCGGTCTTCATGCATTGAACCTGAACATTGATTCAGGGAAAACCATTCAAGCTAGTCTTTCAGCTAACAGCGCCAGAGACCAGGAAGCTGATTCATGCATCACCTCCTCCTCCCTGCTTCATCGGCAAGTCCCTTACACCGTAGCCAAGGTGCTGCAAGGTTCGCAGTGCTAATGCCAAATGAACTTTCAAAGCACCTGGCATTCAGCTATCAATGTGCACTGAGTGCTCAGGGAGGACCCTAAAAAACCTGCAATGGAATGAGATCTGTCTTTGAAATAGTGTCTTTGAAACTGCATTTTTGTTTAACAAATTACACTTGCATAGCACGTTTCACAACCTCAAAGCTAAAAACAGCTTTCCAAGCAACAAAATATTTTTGAATGTTTATTGAAATCTAGGAAGTTGTGTAATGCAGAAAACACAGTAACCTATGAGTGCACAGCAAGATCCCACAATCATATGATAATGGACAGATAATCTTGTGATTTATTGGAGGCCAGAACACTTGGGGGACCCAGTGGAATGCTTTACATTTGCCTGGGGTGAGGGGAGACAAGGCCTTGTTTTAGTGACTTATCTGAGATACAGAATGTCTGACAGCGTGGTACTCCCTCAATACTGCAGTGGGACCCCTGACAGTGTGGCATTCCCTCAATTCTGCAGTGGGACCTCTGACAGCGTGGCACTCCCTCAATACTGTATTGAAGCCCAGCTGGGATTGTGTGCCCTACTGTGGGACCTTGAAACCTGATGTTCTGCCTCAGAGATGAGGGTGATATTAACTGACCCACAGGTATCAGGAGACTTCACAACCAGAAAGAAGACAGCCTCAAGAGGCCTCCATGCAAACGTTCACTCCTCTGATTTTAAAACATCACCTCATTCTCCGAATCTCAGCATCCTCTTTGGACGGCTGCTTGGGTTTCTGACTTGCTGATGCCACTATGTCCCGAATCTTCTGCAGACAATCAGCAAGGTTTTTCATCTGGTACCTGCTGATTTCCGAAGTGACAATCAGCTGCCCGGCCCGATTAATTCTGTTCCGGTACTGATAAGAGGAAAAGAAATGATGAAGCACTGAAAGATAATGTGTCAAATCGTCTACCTTAATCATGATTGCGTATTTGAATGTACTTGGGAATTTTAAAGACTTTAAGTCACATAGTGCTTGAGACCCCAACTGTTCACAAAATATATCAGTGATTTGGAGGCTATGGCTAAATGCAATGTTTAGAATTTGCAGCTGAAATAAAACAACGTATTTGATTACGTATTACCATACTAAATGGCAGGGCAGGCTCAATTAGTGAATGGCCTACTCTTGTTCCTATGTTCCTAATTGATTAGAAACTCTTAACTTTAACAAATATTGGAGAAAATAAAGTGTGCTACAGTTAACAGAAGTATGTTCCATCAATCGGAAAAGTTAGTGTGAATTGCTTTTACCCTGATTAGCAGTCAGTTGGGAAACTTGGTCATCCTGGTGGTTTAATTGGGACTTGATATATTGTGGAATGGCCTGTGAAACAGTGGGACACCATTTGCAGCATCCTCTTCGCAGATAAGTCGTAACACCCTCTTAACATCGATTCAATTAACATCATTTCACTTTTAAGGTTTTTCATAAATTATCCTCTAACTTTTGTCAATTTCAGTCTAACATCATCGGTCACAGTCAATTCCGTATCTTACATGTACACACCATGTTTGCCTCAGTGCTTCTGCTCATGCCCTTATGCTGTAGTGCCTACT